TATTCTGGTGATTTTCATTCGATTAGGTTGAACTCTGATGCAATGCAATTATATTTTGTCTGAGGTTAAGTATAGGGTATGGAGGAACGTGGCCTGCTCAATCGATTTTAGGACTGAATGGAGTTTTTAGAGAGGGAAATTATAATTTGCTACGATTTTCTTAATGTCAATTTCCTCTTTGTTAATTTTTGGTAGGCAAATTTGACGTCCTTTCTCCGATTTGACCGTATGTGTGTGTTCAAAAAGGAGGGGCAACACGTGTTTTTCTACAGAGATCAATAGAACGAATTGGAATTTGTATCAAATTTTAAAATGTGAAAAGATTAAATTGATTTAAGTTGAAGTACGAGGATTGATTAGTCTAGTGAATTACTTTAAATATTGAGACCCGTTTCACATATATATTTTTTTTTACGAAGTTTGAAAATTCAAAGGGGGTTTTCTTGTTCATGACCAAGTCTGCTTGGGATTAGGACTCCTCTGTGTCTTTGACCTACTGTTCTTGCAGGCCCCGAATAGATTCAGCTTTCACTGTTAGTCAAATTAATTCGTTTACTTGGATCGGAAATTATTGGCTGTGTTTGTTGTCTGGTCCACCATTTTTTCACCCTAACTTTTGTTATGGGCGGCAAGACATGAATGACAAATCCTTATCAATGGCATAATGTCCCTTCCCTTTGAAGTGGGGCTCCTGTTTTTTCTGGAGTTGTGTCGCTATCCTCACCGAATTCTTCGGCTGGAGCTCGCAACACGTGGCGTCAACTATATCTTTTCTCTCTTAACTTTTTGGAGTTGTTCCCTCTTCCCAGTTTAAAACATATAACGTTGTTTAATCGTTAGTTAATTAATCTCTTATCCATGTGAGATTGATGTTCTAATTTGTTGGAGACGTGTTTTTTCTCGTTTCAGGTACGTGTGTGGGTGGGAACGGGAAGAGGGCTTTACCCAAACCACCCACCCTTTTCCAAGGAAACTTCTTGGACGGTTTGGTTTGAGGATAAAGATATGATCTGGCTGTCCGAATAGGTGACAGCCCGATTTTGTTGAATGATTTCAAAGGTCCATTCGAAGATCCTCTTTCTCGTGCGTATTAATGCCATGACTCAACTTTTGATACGGAGCCTCCCTTGTTATTTGCTGCACATCTTGTTTCACCATTAACGTGTTCAATCTCTTCTTTCTTTCTTGGTACAGGTGATTTTAAAAGGCTCGCTTTCTGGGTCGTTTACATATTAGACTGCTCAACTGCTGATTTTAATCTCATGTTCTGTGAGAGTAATCCGCTATTGGCATGAGACATTGTGATCTGTGTTTCAAATATGGGTTCCTTGTCCGGAATCCTTCAACGACCATTCTTTGCTGTAACTGCGGTGGCTGTCGCTTCGTTTTCCTCTGACTTTTCAGACAAGTTACCATCTCAGAGATCGCCAGATGCTGCTGCTTCTTCTTCTGCTTCCCCAGATTTGTCCAACAATTCAACTTTTGATTTCTTGAAGGAATCAAAGACTTTATTTGCTTCCCATATTTCTGTTTCAAAGCTTGCAAACTTATCATTTGTCACCAAAATTCATGCACCAGTTCCCAACATTAATTTTCCGATTCCAACATCCAGTGGTAATTATGTGCGAAACTTTCACACATCTCTGGTTTCTTCCCCCGTTCTTTCCAATTTATATCAGTCAGCTGCATTGACCAAGGCCTCAAAGCAAGCTGCATCTTCACATAAAATTTTTTCCCCACCTTCTGAGGTTATGTATAGATGGCATTTACCTGAGCCAACATCTTTAGATATTTCGGGTAGTTCTGCTTGTTCAGTGGCAAAATCTAGGACGGTGGTGGTTTTATTAGGATGGTTGGGAGCAAAGCAAAAACATTTGAAGAGATACGCTGAATGGTACACTTCAAGGGGTTTTCATGCGATTACCTTTACTTTTCCAATGTCTGAGATACTCACGTACCAGATTGGTGGGAAGGTTGAACAACACGTAGACTTGCTTGTGAATCATCTAGCTGATTGGTTGGAAGAGGAGCACGGGAAGAACCTTGTGTTCCACACTTTTAGTAATACCGGATGGTTGACGTACGTTTTTCCTCTATCCCCCTCTTCATTTAACATCCACACCACGCAGAATGAAAGTTTGGTACTTTTGACTTCACAGTTAGCACATTTGACTTCTGTTCAACAACCGTCTGTATGTGATTGTTCCCTTGGATTCATTTTGTTGCAGGTATGGAGCTATCCTGGAGAAGTTTCAGAAGCATGATTCTTCTGTAATGGGAAGGATTAAAGGCTGCATTGTGGATTCTGCCCCTGTTGCAGCTCCTGACCCCCAGGTAATGATGCCCTTGATATATAAATTTGTGTTCATCCTTAACGAGACATTCGTCGCAATAGATACATAGTTACCACTTACTAGTGAACCATTTTGGCACCAGTTCTTTTTCTTGTCATTCAAAAATTGATCGATTGCTGTATATATGCACCATAATAAGAAACCTTGTAGTATGAACTATGCTTTGATTTAAAGAAAAAAGAAAATCATTGGAAAGGTAGAAATTTATCGTAGTCGACCTGTTATGGTATTATATAGTAAAAGGCTCAGAGTAACCTTTTTGTCCTTGCACATCCTCCATATAACAAGTTATGAGAAAAGGGTGAATTTTTGTTTGTTATATAACTCATTATCTTCTCTATTAATTTAGAGTATCTGTTTGCTGGGCGTTTAGGTTATGACAGCTTCTTTTATTTTAATTGCACTTTCCATTCAAGGAGTTTCCCTTTCAGTTATGGATTGTAGATGGTCTGTGTTTCTACTTGAGTTTCTTGTTCGAACAATTATGAGGGAAATGTTCATTAAATCTTTGATATTGGTTTTCTAGGTCTGGGCTTCAGGCTTCTCTGCAGCCTTTTTGAAAAAGAACAGTGTAGCAACAAAAGGATCGACGATGTTGGACAACACAAGGATGGAAGTATCGATCCGCAATAAAGACGATAAAGAAAGTAAACCAGCAGTTACTGAAGCAGCACTTCTAATGGTTTTGGAAAAATTCTTCGGCGTCGTTTTGAACCTTCCTACTGTGAACAGGTAGTTAAGTCGGCCTTTCAAATGTGATCATTCTAATCAATACTAGATCAAAGATGATGCAAAAATATACAGGATCAAGTAGTCAGTTCAAAAACATGATAGTTTCATATCCTTCAAATGTGCCTGTTTTTCGATCATGTATAGATTTCGATAATTTATCCATGAAATCTAAAAGACGAAAATTGTTCTCTTTTCCTACCAGGAGGCTATCTGATGTGTTGGACATGTTATCGTCGTCGCAACCGAGCTGCCCTCAACTGTACATCTACAGCTCTGCTGATCGAGTCATCCCGGCCAATTCTGTGGAATCGTTTATAGAGGAGCAACGGCGAGCGGGACGGGAGGTTAGAGCTTGCAACTTTGTGTCCACCCCTCATGTAGATCATTATAGGAATGACCCAAAACTGTATAGTTCTCAGCTTAGTCAGTTTCTGGCAGATTGCGTGCTTACTTCTTGTTGCAGAGAGTCTTGTTAACTCAAAATTTGAGTTAGTTGCTCTCTGTTGCCTCATTCTTTTCTTTTTTAGTTCTTTATACAACATTGTTTATACTTTACATCCATACAAGTGAGGCCAAGCAAAAGCCTACATCTCATTGGTTTTTAGTATAGATCACAATTCAATTTTATTTATGTGGGCTGATCAATCTTGGGTTATGTTGGTGTCGAGTGAGCACGCACCACGTGTAACGAAAACAAATTACTTGTTAGCTTTATAAAAATTCTGCGAGGCCTAAATCTTTATGAAATCAATCTATTACACAATTCTTTACCGTTATCATGTAAGCACCAAACTAGTGGAGTTAATGGCAATGCATTATTAGATACAAAATTGAAAATTGTGAAAGTATTAGATAGACATTTAAAAACCTAACATAATTAATGGTTAGTAATTTAACTATATGATCATTTTTAGTAGTCAATCATGACGGTAATTTATTAATTTTTCAATCAAATTTCAATTGACAATTTTTATTGGAAACCAATCAAACCAAGTTTATATCAGAACTGCATAGGTCGAGCTGGGTTGATCGAATTTTTCGGGTCATGAGAATTTCTTATGTATCTTTAATTTTAACACTTAAACAAATGATTCATACACTCAACCCCATCGCAAAATTACCCTTCCATTAAAATTTTGAGTGAATAAATTTGAAAACACCAAACATATATATAATATATCAACTTGTTGTATTGATACCAATTAAATTTGTACAAATTGGGTCTAATAATTTAATCTATTCCTAGCTCCAATAAGTAAATATAAATGAAGCAAAGGAAAAGAAAACACTTCTACCAAACATACAACTAGCAATTAATACTCCATTCTTGAGAGATTGTTTGTTGAAGAAATCTGAAAGTCTTCTGGAAATTTTGGAATCTCATAAACCAGAAATCAAAATTATCCACAGTTACTATCTCCAAGTACTTCTGTGAAGGCTTATTCACATTCTCACTCTGGTTCACTCTCTCTACTCTCCCCACTGGAATCACCACCTGCACCACACATCACACACAGTTTAGTAAACAAAAACAAGAGCGGAGTAAAGAACAACGAGGGACTCGACAGTTCTATTCCTAGTTCGTCTTAGATATCCTAACTACCCTGGCCTAGCCTAGTGGCCAGCAGTGAGACCCAAGTAGGGACTTGGAGTATATTTCTCGATAGCCATATGCTATAGGGTCCTGCGATCTACCCGTGACAATAATCAGTATATTAAAAATAGGCTTTCTTTGTTACCCTACGTTTTTAGATTTGAAAGTTAGGAAGTAAAATTTTGCCCGATTCGGACCGTACTAGAGAGAGAGAGGTGACCTTGTAATGAAAACTTAGGAGATCTCCATTTGGGGAAGAGAATTTGATAGATTTGTGGCTGCAAAAGGCAAGTTTGTGTGAGGAAATGAAGAGGAAACCAGGAAGAGGTCCTGCTGTGGTTGACAAATGGCACTCACAAGCCTTCAATAGCTTTTCCTCTTCTCTTACACTGAAGAGTTGCTTGTAAACTTTCCTCAATCCACCAACTTTAAGAATCATCTTTGCTCCCAAACTCAACTTTCCCTTCACGGTTTCTCTGATCTTTTGCCCAAACCTCACTGCAACTGCACCAACCAAACAACAAAAACATATAAGTTCATGTTAAGTAATCGACTAATTCTCGTTTTCGTTTGTGCGACTCGATCGCTAAGTAGATATATGCATTTGTTGATATATTATCTCTTTGATCTCTTACTTTGTCCGTTTTGATGTTCGGATGTATACCATGGATTTAGCTATTTTTGTTTCTTATATGGATTTTGATTTTCTTCCGTATGTTTAGGCTCTTTTGTAATTACTCTTGAATAAGAAGATTCCTATACTTTTACAACGGTATCATATTGTCCATTTAGAACATATACTCGCATAATTTTAACTTGTGAATTCTACCTGAGAGACCTCTCGTATCACTAAAAATGTAATCTTTGTTAGTCACCTGAATCTAAGTGGAACTCTATTTATATCACCCAACAATTAAATTTTCTTAACAAACTGATCTATTGGTTATGTCTAATTAAGCAAAAACAAAAGCTCACCATGCTCTTTGACTCCATGGCCAAAACTCCCAAGCTTGTTCTCTCTGCTAACAACTGAATCCTCTCTACCTGCAAACATTCAAACTTTCTCCATTATTCAATCACTCCAAACACAAACAAAGACATCTTCAGATCAAAGAGAAGAAGTTTTACATTGTTTCGTGGCTCGAGGTTCGCCGTCCGGGGATTGGCCGCCAGCGGGAGCAGGCAACACTCTCTTTAGAGACTTCTCGAAAGGCCGAAACGCCGCCAACGAGCCAACCGCGATCCCGGCGACGTCTTGTTTCATCAAAGCTTCCATTTTTCTTCTGCTCCAGTCGATATATTACTAATGCTTTAACTGAAGAGAGAGCAATGGTAGATGACCAATCTTCCTGCCCCTCCCCCAAATATATATATGGAGGGAGGGGGAGAAGATGGTGAATTGTGAAACTTTTTCTCTGTTCTTAGCTGAGTCAGCCATGGCCGTCCACCAAGATTACACATAAGAACGGATCTTAGGAAAAGAAAGGTTTTTAAGAAAAAGATTGTAAAAGGAGGGATGATGATAGGTTGGGGTTTTGCTAGCTTTACTAACAAAAAAAAAAAAAAATGCATAGTGGGAATTGCTCTTTTTGGGAAACCCTTCAATGGGGTATTTTCTTGCTATGCAAGTATGCATTCATGTAATTGTATATAAACTATGCCTAAATTAGTACTCTTATAAGTAATTTGTATTTATATGTTTTTTAATTTGGATTTGTGTTTTTCTTGAACCCGATGAATGTTGCAACATTTATCTAAATTAAGGTTTGATCGAATGAAATTGAAAATTTATGGTAAAAATTTACTCGTCTTGTAGAGTTCAGGTAAAATTTAGATTCTTTTTTCTTTTCTTTCTTGTTCTCTTTGTTTTTTAAATTAAATTTTGAATGTAGCATTGAGTTTTTCGATTATTTAAATAAATCACCATTTGAACCGATGGATTTTAATGGAAATTATCGTGATGGGACATCATACATGTATTTCAATCTTGCCCATTACTTTTATATAAGGTTTTTTTTTTTGTATTTTACCCAAATTTGTAATTTTTTTATTTTGATATATGAGTTCAATTTAGTTCTCTCGAAGTATACAAGTGTTTCTCTTTAATGGAGTTAATTAAGACGAAAAGTGAATTGTAAAATAATAAAAAACTTAAAAAAGGTATATAATATCTAAAAGATTTAAAGTTGGAAAGACAAAATTAGAAAATAATTTTACTTAGTTTAGATGGAAAAAAAAAAAAGGAAAACTATGATTTAGCAAATGGTGCAAAAATTCTCAAGAAATGTTTGGAAGAACAAGAAACTTTTGCAAATGGATCCACTATAGAAAAGATAGAATCTTTACCCTTCAAGACCATATTTTGCTTTTTCTCAAAATGTAGCAAATTGAAATATATTTTGAGCTGTCATAAGAGCTTTGTGATGCAATTCTTCCCCCTTTACTCCCAATATAAGGAAGAAAAAAAGAAGAAGAAAAAAATCAAAGTTTTATATGCATATGCCCACATCCACTTGCTCAAAAAACATATTATATAAATATAATTAAAGATATAATGCTTGCATCATGTTTTGAGATCATATTATATAAATATAATCCAAGAGATTTTTGCCCATGAATGATTGGATGTGAACTTTATATCATGCATGCATGGAATGGGCAAATAAAAATATTTATGAATTTTCTCATTTGTCTCTCATTTGGCTACTGCTTAATATTGAGGTATGAAAAAGTCTTCTCTATTCTTAAAAAAAAAGTCTTCTACAAATCATGTCTACTCACCCTCAACTCATTTTAAAAAGAAAAAAGAAATTGTGAAATAAGTTTTTGATATTTTAGCAATTCTTAATTTTTTATTTATTTATTATAATTTTCTTGGAAATTGTGTTGGATAATTGTTTCTTGTTTTCTAATATCTTTTGGAAAAAATTAAATGTGTTTTGCAACTATTTCTTGTTGATTGTTGTCACCCAAGATGAATTAAAACATAAACAAAAATTTTTGGTGAGAATTAATTTTCTTTAAAAAAAATTAACAGATTTTATGTGATATTTGTTTTTTATTTTTATTATGCAATTTGTTTATTGTTCTCTTCCGCTAAGACACGTGTGTTCAGGCTTTAGTTTGGACACTCTGAGGACGAAGAGGAAGGACCCACACGCCAAAACTGAAGCTAAACTAAGCCTCAATTTGGAAAAGATTTCGACAGGTGGAAAATTTGTTGACATTTGACGGAATGACGTTCTATTGTTAGAGATCTTCCGGTTACCTACTTAATGACAGGTACGACCAGAAATCTGGTTGCTCCTTTTGTATAAAATGTGAAGTCCCACCTTCTAAAAAGTACACAATCTCTTCTACTTCAAATTCAAATTGTCTGTTGACATGTCAGTTAGACCAAAATTCTACTTCAATAGAAATAATAAATTTAATTGATTAATTGATTCCAAGAGTTAGAGATGGAATTCAAATTAAGAAAATATTTTGTTTATTAAATTTCAAGCTTGTTTAAAATAAATATTTTTCCTTTCAGTCTTTTGTTTAAATACTTTTAAAATCGTAGCTAAAAATTTTAAAAAACTAAAAATAACAATTTCTCTATGGCTCTAGAGAGACTTTCTTACACTCATACCATAAATAATTGTTAATTGACATTTTTGGCATATATACCTTTAAGGTCTTTTCCAACGCAACTAATTTTCTTAGAGATTTTTTTATGACGTGTTTGGAAGTAATTTTGGGTATTACCATTTTTTAAAGTCGTTTGAATTTTCTAAAATCTTACCTAAAATTAAAAAGAAAAAACTAAAAGTAAAAGTTTCTCGAGGGGACTTTCATTTCTAGGCGCAGAGTGTTCTCCATATGAAAGTTCTGTTATATAGAATTATTTTACGAAGATTTCGTTATATTATTGTGATACTTTAGTTACGGTCATTGATCAGGGATGAATTTGATCATAGATTTTCAAGCATCTTTACACTAGGTTGAAAAATGGTATTCTCGAACCTTATAAGTTGTCCCCACTTTTGATTTTGTAATGTTTTTGTTTTCTATTTACATGATAAAAAGCTTGTGTTATTTAATTTCACTAATTATGTTAAACTACCTATATTTGGATTCAGATAAGAGTAAAAAATATAGGAAAATAACTAAATTTTCTGTGAGGTTTAAAAACCATAAAATCAAATTCAAACTTTTAGAACCACAGAAACCAAATTGAAACCAAATCCAAATCGCCATCTCTCGTTCCACTAATGAGTTGTTACTGATTCATTCAAGGAAGGCATAGACCACACTTATTTGTCTTATTAGCACAGGTGTTCGTCAACGATGAAAGCCGCTGAGCTTCAGACTCGAGTTAAGAAAGAGGGCTAGGCCCAAGAGAGGAGGGTTTTTAGGGACTAGGGAAGACGGGCAGATTATAGAGCTAGGGGCAGATTGGATCGAAGGTTTGTCCATTGGGATTGGGCATGGACGAACCTCGAGTAGGCTTGATGAAAAAATGACAAAAGAGAGACTGAATTAGTAATTTAACTAAAATTTAAGGATGAGTTGAGCTATTTCTTGTCTGTTTGAATGTTGCAAAATTTGAGAAAAATAAGGCTCAAATTGAACATCCTTGATTGTTGTTTCCTTTGATTTCTCAAATTTGGTAAAACTTCAAAAAGAAAAGTTCTCACTTCCATTTGAAAAATGGAACTTTTTATTTTTATTTCTTATTATTTTTTGGGTCCTAAAGAAATAAAGATAGAAGCTTTATGATTTTGGGAGACTTTTTAGAAACATATAATATTATTGCTTCCCTTTTCCCACTTTGGAGGTTGTGTTGGGCAGCTCAGCTTGTTGATTGAATTTTTTATGAGCTTTGCCAATGCTACCAACTTCACACAAAAAGAAAAAGAAAAAAGGGAAAAAGAAAAAAAAGAAAGAAAGAAAATTGGCAGCTGTATGCAATTAGATCAACCCAATAAATCACTTCCTTATGCTGGGTGTTTTTTAGACCCTATACATTATTATTTATTTATTTATTTTACTCATTGAAATTTAAAGTAGGCATCTGATCGTTGAAGTTTGAAAATGAACGCTTGTTTTATCCTCACTCACATACTTCCTACACATGCTTCCTAGTAAATGAACATTTTAGAATTCGAGCTATCAAAAAGAAATGTACACCTTATTAGTATAGGTTGTAACTATCAATTCTTTTAAATCTTTCTTGACCATGTTTCCTATGATGTTAGGATTCCTTTGGTATCGGTTCATGAACCCCTCATTTCCACTCGAGTGTCACACACATCATCTTACTGAATTAGTCAACTAATAGTCAAAGGATCTTAGAGACCATTTAAGGGTCGTTTGTTTTTTTGGAATTATAGATGTTTGCATCTTTAGATAACTATGTTTGTTTTATAGGGATATTTATTAGGAATATTTGAAAATATTTAGATAGGTTTGTTTGTTTTACCACCTTTGTATGTAGAAATATATTAAAATTACCTATTGTTCCAATGATACCCTTACAAGCCCTTATATAATTTATATGTTAAAATATATTTTTTAAAATATAATTTGAATTTATATAATAATTTTGTTTTATTAATTTGATATTATATTCTGAATTTAGTTTATGTTAGGTGACTATGAATTCATGTTAGGTGACTATGAGAAAGAGTAAAATAAATGAAAAATTGCACATTAGATTTTAATTGAAAATAAATTAGGATATATATTCCATTGACTAAAGTTTATAAATGTAGCATATAAATATAATTGTATATAGTCATGTATCAATTAATCAATGCATTAATTTATTTTAAAAATAAAATTTTAAAAATGAAAAATAAAGAAAATTGATTAAAAATATATATCTATAATAAAAATGAATAACAAAATGGTCCAACGAATAACTAAAGAAAATCAATGCATTAATTAATTTTTTATGTTATTGCGTAGAATTGATATTAATATAAGACTTTTTTTTTAAAAAATATAATGATATTAAATATAAATTTTATTTTAACTTTAATATTTTTTTAAAAGACAATTATGTAATTAATGTTGTGTGAGGTGAAATTAATTTCTCATATTATCAAATTATATTTTTTTAAGAAGAAAAATATCAAATGACGTTGTTTTAAAATTATATATTTAAGATAATAAATGTTATTGATAATAATTCCTTTCAAATATTAAAAATAAATTGATATATTTTATAATTTAGTTGAAGTTTATTTTATATATGTAAATGTAATATATAAATATATTTAATTGTATAAAGTTGCTTATTAGTCAACATTAACTTATTTAAATTATGAAAATTAAAAATAAAGATATAGAAAATCGAAGAAAGAAAATATATGAAAAACGCACAAAATGCAAAAATGGACATGGGAATATCGAAAATCCATGCCCGTATCACAGAAGTCATGGGTTCCTACGAAACAAACGACCCCTTAGAACTATTTTCTAAACTCCACGTACTAAATTGTCCTTTTTAAAATTTAATTGACAAAATAGACACGTGCCCCAAAGAGACCAAAATTGTATTTTATCATATATCTTTTCTTTTGTTGTTAATATTTTAAAAGTTCCCATTTTATATTCAAAGTATCAAAATATGTCAATCAAGTATGTATGTGGTCAACGATATTGTTGAAACTCAATGATTCTATAAGTTGATGCCTTTTTTATGTTCAAGTATTTACCTCATCCTACGATAAAAAATATATTTACCTTATTGAATAAAAATTACCACCTATAGAAATGGGCAACCACTTTTTTTTTTTTTATTTTATTTGGCTGTACGCGTAATGGTGAAAAACAAAATGGTAAATTTAGGAACCTCAAACGACACTATACAAAAATGAAAAATCATACTTTTTAGACACGGTTGTAATATGGGTCTAAACAGAAGGATTTTGATGTAAAATTTTTGACACTTGGAAGAGATAGGATGAAGAAGCAGATAGCATAACAACTTGTCATTCACAAAATAATTTGTACAATTGAGTAAATTGTATAGTGAATTTCCTCCCAGTTCATATGACACTCTTCCAAGCCATCTAGCAGTTCTTCCATTCTGAGGAGATCACATCTTGAAGATATTGAAAAGTTTTCTGGTAATTTAGGAACCCCATAAACCAGAAGTCAAAATTATCCACAGTAACTATTTCCATGTACTTCTGTGAAGGCTTCTTCACATTCTCACTTTGGTTGATTCTCTCTATTTTTCCTACTGGAATCACTACCTGCAGGCAAACATTTCTTTCAAAGTTCAGCGCACAGAGAGGAAGAGGAAGAAATAGAAGACGACAGCAACCGGTTCAAGTCTCGGGCGGGTGGGAGGGGGCTTACCTTGTAATGGAATCGAATTAGCTCTCCTGAGGGGGAAGAAACTTTGATTGATCTGTCACTGCAGAAGGAAATCTTATCTGTGGATATGAAGAGCAGACCTGCAATGGGTCCTGCTGTGGTTGACAAATAGCATTGGACAGCCTTCAATAACTTTTCACCTTCTCTGACATTAAACAACTGCTTGTAGATCTTCCTTAATCCACCTACTAGAAGAATTTTAGCTCCCAAGCTCAACTTTCCCTTTACAGTTTCTGTGATCTTGGATCCTAGTCTCACTGCAGTTCCATAAACAGATAAAAGTTTCTATCAAACTTCTATTCCATTCCGTTCATTTAATCATCCCAATTCTTTGTTCTCCTTCATATCACAAGCATTTGAGATTCTTGATAATCTAACTAAGCAGAAGAAAACAAACTCACCGTGCTCTCGGAATCTATGAGCAAAGCTGTCTGCTCTTTTACCAAGTTTGTTCACCTTGCTAAGCACTGAATCTTTACTACCTGCAATGCGAAGACTATTCTCAATCCAAAAACCAATTTCTTGCTCATTTATTCAATCGCTAAAGCAAGAGATGGGGGAATTTCTTACATTGTTTTAGTGCTCGATATTTACTACTGTCTGAAGAGGTAATATTGTACTGGCCAGCAAGATCAGGTAAGAGGCTCTTAACTGATTGCTCAAACTGCAATGCTGCTGAACAAACTGGAAGTCCAATAACATGTCTCAGCAGTGAAGTTTCCATATTGGATTAATGATAAAGAAAACTTAGCTAGACAAATTCTCTTGCTTGGAGTGGCTTGACCTCTGCAGCCACTCACCTAAAATGTTCTTCACTAGCAATAAGGAAGAGAATTTGCTTAATGACTAGTGTATCGTTCTTCGTCTCTATGGAGATATTTAAAGGGATCAAAAAATTGTTGGTGAATCTTACTTTCTGTTGTCCGAGTCATCCAAGGTGCATCAGAAAGAATAAAAGAACCTATTAACATAAAATAAAATTTGGAAAAAGAAAAAGGGATCTTAGGTTTGGTAACTTTAGAAAAAAGCAAACAGAATGCCTTTTGAATATCTCCTACTCCCTAGAAAGCTTCTTAAGAAAGGCTAGTTTCTTGCAAAATAAGCCTTGTTATACGCATTAGAACAATAAAAATACCAAGAGTTGAAAATCAAAACTAAAATTAGAATTATAAGAATATGAAAGCGGTAAATTGCAGAGTATAATGGGGATTAATATTCCTCCTTTTCTTGATTTCAGTAATTAAAATATAGTGTGCTGAGGCAATTTTAAGATTTTTTCCCCAACAAATAAAACCTTCTATTATCAGTGTCGTGCAGTTAAGCATAGTAAAATGGAAAAAAAAATGTCTGTTACTGTTTAATACTTAGAGGAGACATGAGAAGTAGAATGCTGATTTTTTTAGAAAGAATTTGCATTGTCCTATTTAATCATATTTCATCATATCCGAAATGGGAAATGGTTTTCAAAAGATGAACTAGATATGGATAATTCCAATAAGATTTCATTCTTGAACAAATTTCCTTTTTTCTATTTATTTCATTTATTCCATGACCGGAACAAAAGGAAAAGGGATACGCGTTACACCACAATCTTGAATTCAAAATAGAGATTTCAAGAAATGGTAGACCAATTCACTCTATCAATGTCTGAGCCGAATCAAACCTCGAGGAAACGGAAGAGAAACAACATCCGTCCTACAAAGGTCCTCAATCCGTTGAGGGAGGGGATCAACCCAACAAAAAGAGCCCTACGAGAAAGGGCATACTTAGGAATCTCATTCTGTAATTAGTTCAAACATCTATTAACTTGAATTCAAGTGACATAATTTACAAAATTGTATTAGTTTTCTTAACCAACTCCCCCACCCCTATAGAAAACTAATAATAAAATAAATAAGAAGAAGAAAGCACAGAAAAAGCTAGCTCGTGAAAATGGATCCCAAGACAACTTTTGAATCATAGCATTATAGATTCTTACTTTTCCTCAATCTTAAATGGTGAGGCTATGATTTTGAAACTTTTTGAGCTGGCACACTGGCTTTCTGATGCCATCTGACTTTTCATACCAACTTAAAGAAAAATGGAAAAAAAAAAAAAGATAAGGAAAGTCCATGCAGAGCCCAATTGGTTAAACTAACACCTAGCACATGCTAAAAGGCACAACGGTCGCATAGTTTTACCAGAAATGACGTTTGGTATTATGTTTTCAGTACAAAATCTCAGTCCAGTTACCTTATATAACTGCTGCTTTCTCATCCTCTGACACACCCTGCATAAGAAAAAGTTTAAGGTATAAAAAAAAAGTGTCAGAACTTACATCAAACACATGGTGTGCAAGATCCCAAAAGAAATATTTTGAATCCACGATGGGTATTCATGAAACCCCATTTTGATCTAATTCACTCCAAACAGTGTTAATGGATCCTGATAATTAGAAAAATCTAAGAATATTGAGAAACAGGGCAAGAAAATGAGGTCGATTCAAGTCGGCAGGTCAAAAGAAGAGGGGAAAAAAAGGTGGAGGGAGAGAGAAAATTTGCGACCTTATCACAGAAGATCACAAAGGTCCCCATGTCGACTTGGAAAGTGGGAATTCAACTTGATAATGTCGTAAGCCATCTTTTGTAGGAATCCTTTGCGCGTATATTAATCGTTCTTGATCTTGAGACTTGAGTTGTAAAATTAACAGGCAGAACCCAAAAGGATTGTGTAATCAGACACTGTCATGGGCATGAGGAATTGATTATGAAATCAAGGGCCCCATTTAGTTTGATAAATGGCAATGAATCTGAAAGAGAATGATCAGTGAAAAGGAAAAGCAAAGAATAATAATGCCTACATCCTCCATGGAATGTTCAAGACAAGTTGAGAGGTAAAAGAGAGAAAACTACGTTCTTTAGCATAAATTTAGGGGGAAGTTTAAAAATAAGGAAATTAAAGTAAAAATTAAAAAAATTCTAAAATTGGGGTATTTTTAAAAGTAAATATTTTTCAAATGTAGTTTAAATATTAAAACAAAAATCTTTATTAGAAAAGTGAGGTAAGATTTGTCGCGCAAAAGATCTGATAGTCATGTAAATCGTATCTATCTCTTTAGTCGTTGCCTGTAATTTAAGTAAATCTTGAAAATCGAACATTTTTTAAAATACAATGTATGCATGATCTACATGGCTGCCAGGTGCCACTATAATCGTATGGAGCAAATTGTAGAATTCTCACAATTTATGTGAATCATACATGATTCCCACTATTTATCCAACTCATTAATTTCAAATCTATCATAGTATTATTTTTTTAATTATATTATTTTATAAAAGAAATCCCAAAAATTGATATGTATTTTTAAAAACTTCTAAATTTGTTTTTTTTAAAAAAAAAACAAAAAAACCTTCTAAGTCTGCGGTAGCTTTAAAAAACTTATAAATTTAGGGAAGTTTAGGTTGAGGGAAGTCTAAAAGTAATGAAATTAGAATAAAAAACTTCTAAATTTGGGATAGTTTTAAAAGTAAATATTTTTCAAATTTAGTTTAAATAAAAAAAATGTAAGGTAACATTGCCCCACACAAAAGATGTGATAGTTATGTAAATTGTATGATCTATTGCCAGCAGACTTCTAAAAAATTGAAGATTTTTAAAATATAATATATGCATGATCTATCAGTGAGCACCAAATAGAATGAATTCGGTAAGGGTGAACGATATTGAATGATATAGCACGACGTGTTGTACTAAGATATATTAGAATATATTTTCTCTTTAATTGAGTTCTATATATATATAATTTTTTTTCTTTTTGAGTTCGACAATTACGAGATGGAGAATCGAACCATCTACCTTTGGAATGATAAATAAGTTTCCTATCCAGTTGAACCATACTCGGATTGGCCAATTGAGTAATAAATTCATGTAATCCAAATAAATCCAAATGACATTATGGTAATGATAATCCAACACAATCATATAATATTGAGATTTAAACATATAATGGAAAAAAAAAAAAAAAAGATTTTGTGGCACATGTTATGGCATTTTTTCTATTGTGGTCCCGAATTCATTAATAAAATTAATAAGTTAAGATTTGTACTCTTAACATATGGTTAATAAGTTTAAGAGTGCCTAAGATGATTGACATCAATAAGAACTTCTTCACAAAGGACTTAAACTTCTTCCTTCTATAAAAGTTTCTCAAAATTTTAACATTTAAAAGATTATAGCACTATAAACGTAAGGGTAAAAATTCGAACATTCGATCTATTACCTATTGAACTTTTCTCAAGTTCGTCATCGATACCAAAATCTTAAATTATAGATTCCAATGTATTAAATTTCATTCGACATTTCTATATGTCCAAAGATTCAGCATCAACATAAAAGATAAAAATATTTCCATGTATCATAAAAGAAATTGACGAAATATTAAAAAATATCAACAAAAATCATTAATACACACTTAATACTAAAAACAATAATTTTAAACTTGTTTTAAAAATATATTAATTTTTTTTTAAATAAATTTTCCAAAAATATTCATCTTCAATGACGACTCAGTATTTGCATCGATATTTTCATAAAATTGAGACCTCTCTATTTCAAAATCAACATTTAAAAACTCAATGACATCTATAATCTAACTCAAATCCTAATTGATTGTCATCAGACTCATCACCAACACAAGCTCGATCAATTTCAGGCTCGCATTTTTAACTTCCTATTTCATAAATGATTCAAAAAAAAAAAAAACACCAACACCAAAATAAAAGTAAAAATGATGTCCCAATCCCAGCTCTGCATTATTTTCTCAGAAACTGTTTGGAAAAAGCAATAAAACAATGGAATACAAGAAGATTACAAGACCCAAACTTTGATTCTGCTTCTAAAATATTTGAACCTGAACCTTATGAACATACAACTTCAAAATTTTCAAGAAAAAAGGCTTCAAATTTAGAGAGAGAGAGAGAGAGGAGAGAAAGAGAGAGATGTAAAAATATGTCCTTTCTATCCATTCATAAACTGCTTACCACTTTTGTTCCTTAGCTGCCTACAGCCTATACAGAAACTTAAAAATTTCCTCCATTGTGGCTTTATTTTTCATTGACAATGAGAGAAACATGATTGAAACAAAGGCAAAAAAGTGGCATTCCCAGCATCTAATAATTTCTATATTTGAAGCTGCCCACCATATTGCAATGCCTGTAGATTTTCCTTAATCCACCTGCTAGAAGAATTTTAGCTCCCAAGCTCAACTTTCCCTTCACAGTTTCTGTGATCTTGGATCCTAGTCTCACTGTGGTTCCATAAACAGATAAAAGTTTCTATCAAACTTCCATTCCAAACAGCTCACTTCGACTTCGCAACGAATGGAAAAAAGTAAATCGTTTTATCATCCCAATTATTTGTGCTCCATATCACAAGTGTTTGAGATTCTTGAAAAACTAACTAAGCAGAAGAAAACAAACTCACTGTCCATGTTCGAAGCTGTCTGTGTTCCTTTACCAAGTTTTGTTAACTTGCCAAGCACTGACTTCTTTTTCTTTTTTCTGGAATCGGGAGTCAGAGCTTTGCTCCCCTATATCCAGAGGCACCCGTGCCCGCCCCAAGGCCTAGTTCCAAGATAAATCAAGGATTTTTGGTATTAAACACATCCAAAAGTTTAAACTCGAGATCTCTAAACCAGTAGGACCAAGAGACCCCAAGCTCTTGCCAATGGGGCATCTTGACTACCTGCAACATGAAGACCATTCTCAATCCAGAAACTCATTTCTTGCTCATTCATTCAATCACTAAAGCAAGAGTTGGGGGAATTCCTTACATTGTTTCAGTGCCGGATATTTTCTACTGTCTGAAGAGGGGATATTGTACTGGCCAGCAAGATCAGGTAAGAGGCTCTTAACTGATTGCTCAAACTGCAGTGCTGCTGAATAAACTGGAATTCCAATAACATGTCTCTGCAGTGAAGTCTCCATATTGGATTAATGATAAATAAAATCAGCTATACAAATTCTCTTGCTTGGAATGGCTTGATCTCTGCAGCCACTCACCTAGAATGTTCTTCACTAGCAATAAGGAAGAGATGTTTGCTTAATGACTAGTGTGTTGTTTTTCGGTTCCACAGATATATTTAAAGGAATCGAAAAATTGTTGGTGAATCTTACTTTTTGTTCTCTGAGTCATCCAAGGTGCATCAGAAAGAATAAAAGAACCTATTAACATAAAAAAAATAAAAAATAAAAACATAAAAGGATCTTAGGTTTGGTTACTTTAGGAAAAAGGGCAAACGAAATGCCTTTTGAAATATGTCCCACTCCCTAGAAAGCCACTTAAGAAAGGTTAGTTTCTTGCAAAACAAGCCTTGTTATAAGAATTAGCTCAATAAAAATGCCAAGAGTTAAAAATCAAAACAAAAATTAGAATTATAATAATATGAAAGCTGATGGTCATGGTACATTGCAGAGTATAATGAGGATTAATATTCGTCCTTTTCTTGATTTTAGTAATTAAAATATAGCGTGCTGATGTAATTTTAAGTTTTTCTCCCCCAACAAAAAAACCCTTTTATTTCAGGGTTATGCAGTTGAGCATAGTAAAATGGAAAATAAAATGTATGTTACGGTTAATACTTAGAGGAAACACGAGAAGAAGTTTGCTGATTTTTTTAGAAAGAAATATTGCATCATACTATTTCATCCTATCCGAGATAGGATGGGGTTCCAAAAGATGAACTAGATATGGATAATTCCAATAAAATTTAATTCTTAAACAAATACCCTTTTTATATTTATTTCATTTACTCCATGACCTAAATAAAAGGGATACACGTTACACCACAATCTTGAATTCAAAAGAGATTTCGAGAAATGGTAAACCTACTCACTCTAGGAATGTCTAAGCCGAATCAAACCTCAAGTAAATGGAAGAGAAACAACATCCGTCCTACAAATGTCCTAAATACGTTGAGGGAGAGGATCAACCCAGCAAAAATAGCCCATACGAGAAAGGGCATACTTATGAATCTCATTTGCTAATTAGTTAAAACAACTGTTAATATGAATAGAGGTGACATAATTTAAAAAGTTGTATTGGTTTTCTTAACCAACTCCCCCACCCCATAAAAAAGTAACTATAAAATAAATAAGAAGAAGAAAGCACAGAAAAAGCTAGCTCTTGAAAATGGATCCCAAGACAACTTTTGAATCATGGCACTATAGATTCCTACTTTTCCTCAATCTGAAATGGCGAGGCTATGATTTTGAAGCTTTTTGAGCTGGCATGTTGGCTTTTCGATGCTAGCTAGCTTTTCATACCACTTCAAAAAAAAAATGAAGAAAAAAAAAGATAAGGAAAGTCCATGCAAAGCCCAATTGGTTAAACTAACACCTATCACATGCTAAAAGGCACAACGGTCGCATATTTTTACCAGAAATGACGTTTGGTATTATGTTTTCAGTACAAAATCTCAGTCGAGTTACCTTATACAACTGCTGCTTTCTCCTCCTCTGACACACCCTGCATCATAAAAAGCTTATGAAAAAAAAGTGTCAGAACTTACATCAAACACATGGTGTGCAAGATCCAAAAAGAAATATTTCTAATCCACGGTGGGTATTCATGAAATCCCATTTTGATCTAATTCACCCCAAATAGTTTTAATGGGTCCTGACAAATCGAAAAATCTAAGGACATTGTGAAACAGGGCAAGCAAATAAGGTCGATTCAAGTCGGCAGATCAAAAGAAGAAGGAAAAAAAGGTGGAGGGAGAGAGAAAATTCGCGACCTTATCACAGAAGATCACGAGGGTCCCCATGTCGACTTGGAAAGTTGGAATTCAACTTGATAGTGTCGTAAGCCATCTTTTCTACGAATGCTTTGCGCGTATATTCATTGTTCTTGATCTTGAGCTGTAAAATTAACAGGCAGAACCCAAAAGGATTGTGTAATCAAACACTGTCATGGGCATTTAGTTTGATAAAAGGCAATGAATCTGAAGGAGAATGATCAATGAAAAGGAAAAGGAAAGAATAATGCTTACCTCCTCCATGGAATGTTTTACACAAGTTGAAGAGAGAAAGGTAAAAGACATTCTATAGCATAAAAAAATTTAGGGGAAAGTTTAAAAATAATTTAACTACAAAAAATCTAAAATTGGGTAGTTTTAAAAATAAATATTTTAAAATGTAGTTTAAATAAAAAAAAATCTTTACTTAGAAAAGCAAGGTGGCAAATTGCTACGTACAAGATCTGGTAGTCATTAAATCGTATCTATCTTACGTCATTTAGTCGTTGTCTGTGATTTAAATAAATCTTGAAAATCGAAGACCTCTTAAGATACAATATATGCTGTTGGATGTTATTTTTCACCTACCACGTGTCATAATCGTAAAGGTGAACGGACTAGAAACCGCGTAAAATATAATAATTTGTCCAAGTTCACTAAGGTCGGAATCAAAGGCACGATCTAAGTAAGACGAGCCGACCTATAGCCTTATCAGTGTTTCCTAAAATCCGATAACACACCGCGTTTTTAGGGTGTGTCAGAATTCTTGTCGGACTCAGTTTCTATAAATAGAAACTCTTGTCTTAAATACATGGTAGGCAAACCTAGATATACTTGGCGAGTTAGATCGGACTGAAACTAACTTGTTCGTTCTGGGAGGTCGTTTGGCAGCTCAGAGAAGATCCCTCCGATCACTCCAACCTATCCTTTTTCCGAATTTGATAAATCCAAACCCAAACATATGCATGACCTATACGTGACTGTCAGATGCCACTATAATCGTATAGAACATCCACTATTCTAGAGAATTCATACGTGATTCTCAAGATTTATGTGAATCTTACGCATCCACACAATTTATTCAACCCAACCTTCAAAATTTTTATAGTTAAAGTTATTTGATTTTATTGATATGTTATTTAATAATAATATTTAAAGTAGAAAATTAGATCGAGCGTAAAATTAATAGAACACAGGTATTGCATGAAATAGAGAATTGGATTGAAGATTTTTTTTTTCTTTTTTTTAATTAGGGAATGGATTATGGTACTCAACTTTGAGATAGATCCATACTTTGATTTGGTAAGCAACACAACATTAAGAATAAACTTTTAAAGAAAAACCCATAAAGCATAAGTTACTTTCAAATTTTCAATTTAAAAAATTAACCTCTAAAATTTATCATAGCTCCAACGATGTCAGATGATATATAGCAAATATATAGGAATTTGTAGGTTGGACAATGTTATGTTAGAAGATATATATTTTCTATTCAATTTAGTTTTATATATATATATTTTTTGTTTCTTTTGATTCAACGGTGAAGAATCAAACATTCGATTTTTGAGATGGTAAATAGGTGTCGAATTTATGACCTCTTAGTCAAAGACAAATGTCAACTAGTTCATATTGGCACGTGTCAAATTGTCCACTTGACTATGTTTGAATTGGCTAATTGAGCTTTAAATTCATGTAAGTCCAAATGATATTTTGATAGTGCTAACCCAACACAACCATATGATATGATATCGAAATTTAAATATATAATGTTAAAATAAAAATAATTAATTTTGTGACATATGTTATAGGATATTTTCTATTGTGGTCTCACACTCATAATATCATTAATGAGTTGAGACTTGTACTTTGACATATTAACCTTTAGTTGATTAGCAAAATGTCATATTTTGGATGGTTCAAAACAAGTTTAAAAGTGACTAAAATGATTAATATTCATGGATAACATCCCCATCGATAAGAGTACCTACCTTTCCCATCACAACTCCTTCCTTATTCTTCTCGTAATTATTCTACCGAAGATTTTCAAAATTTTAACGTTCTATTTATACCATAATCTTTTTTTTTTCTTTATAAGATTATAGCACTACAAATGTAAGAGTAAAAATTTGAAGCTTCGAGCTAATACTTAATTACCTGTTGAACTTAACATAGATCGCTATCGAGACCAAAATCATATAGTATAAATTACAGATTCTAATATCAACACCAAAAATGATGTCCCAATCCCAGCTCTTCATTATTTTCTCAGAAACTGTTTGGAAACAGCTATAAAACAATGGAATACAAGAGGATTACAAGATCCAAACATTGATTCTGCTTCTAAAATATTTGAACCTGAACTTTATGAACATACAACTTCAAAATTTGCAAGAAAAAAGGCTTCAAATTTAGAGAGAGAGAGAGAGATGTAACAGTATGTCCTTCCTATCCATTCATAAACTGCTTACCACTTTTGTTCCTTAAGCTGCCTACTGCCTATACAGAAACTTATAAATTTCCTCCATTGTGGCTTTATTTTTCATTGCCAATGAGAGAAACATGATTGAAACAAAGGCAAAAAAAATGGCATTCCCAGCGTCTACTAATTTCTATATTTGAAGCTGCTCACCATGTTGATATAATTTTACCTATGAGCAGATGTGTGCGGCATTGGATATGCCATTGGACCCATGTTTACGGGTGCACCGGGGACCACCGCGCCGGGCACCGGGCCTCGGACGCCGTACGCCATGTGAGCTGGAGTAGGGATGTTGACTGGGGTGCCAACGGCTGAGACGAGCGGTCCGCCCACTGGCTGCCCCATGGTTGGACCACCGTACATTCCCACACCAGGAGGACCAGCAGCAGGTTGAGGAGGCTGTTTAGTTGGTTTTCCAGAGGGAGCTGCTGCAGGGCCGTTTGCTTGACCGGTGATCGGCCCTTGAGCGGCCGAGATATCGCCGTTTGTAACGCTGGTGATATCGTGGATGCTGGACCGCCTCCTTTCTTTGTTCATTGAGTTCAAACGGATGAAGTATTTTTGTGCATGGCTTGCTACTTGTGTTGGTGTTCTCGTCACTACAAAGTTTCGGGATATACTCCGCCAATCTCCTTTCCCATATTTATCGAGACCGAGCAAAAACAATCTGTGCGGTCAAGACATGGAGCTTTAAAACTTACAGTAGACGTCACAGAAAAGCCAAACATAAACAACCCAGAAATCCTTAAACTTCTAAACTCCCTATGCATAAATCCTTAGAAAAATGGATAGCAGATGTTCATATTAACTGCATTTACACACCTGAAGAAACACAACTTTTTGCCACAAGAAAAATGAAAAAGTTTTACAGATGAAATGAGAAATCAAATTCCAAAGAGCAAGCAAAATTCTGCTGTTCGGGCGGGAGCTTATCCAGTCGAACAAATTTTCAAACAACTATGACTCTATGGCTTGTAAATGCAATTCATAAGCCTAAGATTTTGTGAAAACAAAGCTAAAGAGAGAAACAAAGAAAAAACAATTTATTAAAAAAAAAAACAGATTAGCCAACTTTAAGCAATTTTATACAACAATTTGAGCACCCGACACGGGGCAACGCGACATCGGGTAGTTACCAGATGACTCGATGAAAGACGTTATGCCAACGAGCTTCCGACGATGATATTTGAGTCAGTTGAATAAGGCTATAGCAAATGAATTTCTAGGATAAGAGACAGAAAACAAACAGATTTTCAAAGATGAAGAGACAGAAAACTGAATCATGAAGGAAACATGTTGTAATGAGAACTCTTTACAACAACATATCAAAATACCAGATTTCAAAGAAATAATTTTTCCTATTCAGATCCCATAAAATACCCATTGAACCTGCAAAAACTCTCTCAGTGCATGTGCGTAAAATGGTGCCTTGGCGTGCCGAGTTTAGCTTTAATTGCATCGGTTCAGCTAGAAAGATCAGAATTTAAACCACCTAGGATCTAGATGTCGTAGGAAATTACGATACAAGTCAGACATGATATCATTGTCAACCAAAGGCCGAGCGAAGAAGGAAGGAGAAGGACAATTGCCAACAAAACAAGATATTGGCAATACATGTTTATTTGAATAAACTCTAGAACCTAAAAACGATGAAGGAATTTCGGACAGAATCACGACTATTGAAGGTAATCAGTGAGGCAGAGATATGACAATTCAAAAGGCACCAGTGCCAGGTTGCTACTCCCCATCTTTATGCTACTGAATCATTGTTTGTCTGAAGTAGGAAAAAAACCAATGCCAGGTTATCGAGTTCAAGACCCGAGAGGCATGGTTTTGTAATGTAACCTTAATTCGTTAAAACAAACCTGAGGCAGGAGGAGGTTTAAAGAGGCAATTTAGTGCTTCATCAGAGACATCAGAGACGTGTATGGTTCCAAAATCGAATGAAAGCATGTTGAGGAAAGTGATAATGGAGAACAACAACAAAGGTTTCCTCGACTCGTGAGCTCGGAGGGGTTAAGGATGGGACCGGTGTAACTCGACCAGGCTGGACTAATATAATTTAAGTCATTCATTCACTGTGACTGAGTTTAAAGAAAACAACGAAGATATTTGTGGAAAGAAACAAAAGTGATTTGATTAATGAAACAGTAACCAGACTTTGACTTTATAAAGATACCATACCATCATAGTTTATATACAGGGAAAAGTAAACATAAAACTACCGATTCACCTGTGTTCATCCTCTGTCCAAGCAATTCCCTTACGACGCTCCTGATCTGACCTTGAAGCCTTACTTCCATGATTCGAGTCGCCATTACAGTGCCCGAAATGGCCATTCTTCTTGGTTGTTCCTTCATCACCAGCAAGGCTGGCTGAACCATCTGAAGAAGAACTATAGGAAGGAAGAGGGACACAACCAGATTCGATTAGATTAACATCCTCGACTAAAAGCTCATAGTGGTGTTTAATCTCTTCTACGGTTTTCCCTGGTACATCGGCTGCAATTTTCTCCCACCGATCGGTATCATCCTCGGGATGACTAGCAAGTGCATTCTCAAATGCCTTATCCTGTTCTAGACTCCACAAGGAGTTATTTCCTGCTTCATCCACAGTCATCTGGCCTCGATGAAGTACGCCAAGCAACCAGCCACCGAAAGAAGAAGAAGAAAAAAACCAACTTTACCCAACTCCACCCTAGTGCTCTACAATCTAGGTTACTATCTATACAATATTTTACTTCCTAGATCTAAGAGAAGATTAAGTTTCCAGAACAGATTTTTGGAATTGGGATTCTATTCTATCTGAGATAGAAGCAACCGAAGACGGAGGTTCGGTCAGGGGAAGCAGATGAGGCTCAGATCCTGTAGGTTACTTTGGATTCGGGAAGACGAAAAACGCGAAGAGAAAGTTCCCAGTATGCTGAAACCAGAGAGCAGCCTAGAGAAAAAGTAACAAAAATCTGTGGAGTGGAAGAGGATTCTCAGTGATGATTTGCTCCACAGCGCAAGAACTCGACTCTTGTGAACGGCTGACCTATTGGAAGAACGAAAAGGCAACAGAGTTCAGTTGGACCATGAGAAATATCTGAATGCCATAATATCAAAAAACAAAATAAAATAATCATAATCATAATAAAATAAATTGTCAGTTTTCTGTGAGGCAATGGAAATTAATGCGGTCATGATATTAACAAAGTGGTAATTAAGGCTTTGAATTGCGAAATATGAAAGGGACATTGGAAGGTAACAAACAAAGAGAAGAACAACCCAGAAGTCCATGAAGGGATAAGAAAAAGGAGTATTCTATTGAAAACAAAACAAAAAACTCAATTACCAAAGCTTTTTAACTGTTGAGGCCCACCAAATTTTATCCCCTCCATTTTAGATTCTCACCATTCAACACCCATTTTTACAGCAAATCAAAACTTCCAAGGATGTGTTTGAATGGAGCCCAACTTGAATATGTGCAAGAGGAGGAGAAGGGCAGTGTTTGGTATTATTGGTCTCCAAAAAACCATTAAAACCCATATTGGATTCAATCAAAATGAAGGGGTTTCAGTTTTGATGAAGCTAAGTTCAGAAGGAGTTTCGTCTCTCAGAATCTGAGTCTGAAAAATAATCAGATTCAGAAAACTCCACAAACCCACTTCTGAATCATCAAAAAACAGCTCGAGAAACCACTAATTGAAAAGAAAGAAGAAGGAAAACCCACCTCGAAAACCTATCTTCCTGCTTTTAAAGCCACAAAAAAACAGTGATCGAAGCCAGAAAAACAACAGCAAAGCCAAGAAACCAAACAGAGCCTTATTATCACCACAAAGATTTCGACAGTTCAACCGACAAATCGAGAGAAAATAAAGAAACCCAGTATTTGTTTACCCAGCAAAGCAAGAACCAGAGCTCAATATCCTAATTACTCCAGCAACAATCTCAGTAAAAACAAGAAACGTAGCCTAATTACCACCATTCTCTTACATTTCACTGCAAGTCTTTACTCAGAAATCCAAGAAAAGACAAAGAAGGGGGGCAGAATTTGAATCCGAACAGAAAAAAGAAACTAGGGAGTGTCCAGAATTCAGATAAACCCCAACAAGAGAAACGATGAATTAAGAGCATATTTTTGAATTTTGGGGTTGTGAGAAACAAAAAAAACCCCAATAATACTGAAAAATTACAAGGGCAGAGATAGAAATTACTGGGGAAAGTGATGGGCGATCTTGAGAATTCCATAAGTGAGGAGGAGGATCGGGGGGAGCAGTGGAGAATGGGGTTTTTTGGTCCCATCTCCAATTACCTACTTTGCTACAAGCCATACAGCTAGGATTGAAAAAGGCTCACCCCCAAGTTGACAAAACACCCGAATCTGAATACTCATTAATATCTGACACATCAAAAATACAGAGAGAGAGAGAGAGAACAATTGGGGTTTTTTCTTTTCTTTTCTTTTCTTTTCTTTTCTTTCCATCCAAACAGAAAACTAGAAATCAAAACCTGATTTCCAAACTTGGGTGTGGATCAGTTCTGGCTGCTAGATTTCTGGGTTTTGACTTTTCTGTTTTTGTTCATCAAAGTTACCCAAAATGGAGCAGCCGATCACCAAATCAAGCTGAAATCTAAGATTTGAGCCAACACCATCATCATGGGGAGTGATTTTTTTCCCCTTTTTCTTTGGTGAGAGCCATGGATGGATAATTTTGAAGCCATGGTTGCCAAGTTGCAGAGGGGGGTGGGAAAATGGACCAATAATTGGCGAACAGATCAGCGAATGGTCAGATTTCACGGACTAAGAAAGCACATGCCTGCCCCTACAGTTATGATGCTGCTTCCTTTTGGATTTTTGGCTTCTGATTTTCAAAATTTTTAATGTCTTATGTTATGTGCTCAGATTTTTTTTTTTAATTTATTTATATGTTATCAGCTCGGATTGGATTCTAATGCATTTAATCAACGGACGATGAAACGTCATTTCTTAGTACTACAAATATAAGAGCTAGACTGAGCATCCGACTTAAAAAAAAAAAATTGGTGTATTATCTACTAAACTATGTTCATATTAATAAAAGAGTCTTAAAAATATTAAATAAATGATAATATTGAAAAAGAAAATAGAGTAAAAGAGAAAATTTATATATTATCCACTCCCCAATGAGTTATCAACTCCCCAAAACGTAATTTCGTTTTTGCTTTTTTTTTTTCAAACAAAAAACATAAATGGTTACTAAATAATTTTCTATTTCTAAATCTAAAGTTCAAACGAGAAACCATCGTAACTTTACAGGAAACAAGATACGGGAAAGGAAATCGTTAATGCCCTGTACTCTAGGAAGGTTCAAAAGTTTTAGTTCAATCATCCACATAAAAAATTATTTCAGTCTGTATCACAAAATTTTCATAAATTATTTAGCCCAAAAAAAAAAAGAAGAAAGAAATAAAGAAATCTATTTCAAAATTTGATACCTTTAGCTTTCAAATTGGATAGTCAATTTCAAACACTTGTCCTAGTAAACATGTTCATCAAATTATTTATATCAAGTTTCTTTTAAATAATTTATTAAAAAAGTTGAAGACAAATAATTAATGATTGTTTATACAAAGTTTATAGAAAAATCAAACATCTAAAAAAAATAAGATTTTTTTCCCACAAAGCTATAAGATATTTTGTGTTCCTTTTGGCTCCCCATTCTAACAGCAATGATGCCAAAACTATCCTTTCAACATTGTGCTAAAGTCAATTGTATGGACTTTATTCATGACATGGTCAATAACAAGTTAATTATTTTGGAGTGGTTGGTTCATAATACCTTGTATTTCTATTTTATCTACTTTATTCTCAATTTTTTTTTAAAAAAAAAGGTTTTTAAATATTAAATTAGAAATTTTGATTTTTTTGTGTCAATTTATTGATTTATTAATTTCATTATCCTTGACGTTTATAGATAGTGCAAAAGTACAATCGAAATTAAAACTGACGACACACATTAATGTAGGCTGATATGACATCCATAGAAATAATCCATATAGACCTAGAGATCAATATATAGAATTAGTAAATATCCAATGTGACGTTCATGTAAACGGTTTTGACATGGATATGAGTAATAATAATTTTTAGGGTAAGATATATTTATTGGACTTTGACGTTTGAATTAAGTGTCTATTTACTACTTTATTTGACCTTTGCTCCACCTTACCTCCATTGCAATAGAATAATTTAGAACTGTGAACGTGAGCCACCCTGCCATGCCAAAAGATAGAATATCAAAAAACGACTGGGTAAAGAGACAAAGATATTGTAGTCTATGATATAAATATTGTATTATTTACAATGCAACTCAAATCAACATAAACTTAGCTCAGCGGTTAAGACATTATTTTTTCTGAGAGAAATTGAGCGGATTCGAACTCATAATCTCTTGGTTGGAGATATATGCCAATTATCGTTGAGCTATGCTCGTTTTGGCATTACCATCATTGTTGATAAGTGTGAAAATTGATTGATGATAAACATCCAATACATGATTACGTGTAGTGAGTTGGAATAAATTTAAAGAATGAAATAGACCGCCATCAAAGATTGAGAAAAATTTATAACTCTTTATCCAATTTCTAGACAGTAGAATTTCAACTTTTCTTCTGTTATGTCTCATATCATGTAAGTTTATCATCGATCAATTTTAAATTTTTTAAACAACAAAATCTAAATTTTTTTCTTTGAGTACAACCTGTGGAAGTGAAGATTCGAACTCACACCCGCATAATTGGATTCATGGCTTTAACTCGCTGGGCTATACTGCAGGTTAAAAGTTGGAATCATTTCAAAGGAGAAAAAGGAGAAAAAGAAAAAAGAGACTGTACAAGTTGTTTAGGGGACCAATTATGGTGAAGTATGCGATGGGTAGAGTACTCAAAGGCAGGCTTTAATGAATGTGGGGTCAAATGGTTTTCCCCTCCCTCATATGCTTCCTTCATCTCTCTCTTTGCCGTATTTATTTCATCCTCACCCTTCTTTTATAAATTCTTAATGGTATCCCTGAACTGATTAGGTTATATACCATCGATCAAAAAATGGAGGGTTCTAATTTCTATGCTATATATTATTGAAGTTAAAAAATAAAAAATCTTTTTTGGGTTATATTCGACGTAGATTTTGGTTTAGAAATTACGTTGGATAGAGAACTTGATAATTATCTTTTGTTTCTTGTTTTTTATTGAAAGAAAAATAGAAATGAGTTTGGTAACAATTTCTTTTTTCTCGTTTCTTAAAATTTCAAATTAAAAAGAAATTGTATGAAAGTTTATATTTATTAAGCATTTTATAAATCAATATGTTAAAATCATATTTTTATTTATGTTTTGGAAAACTGACGAGAATGAGATTTAAGAAAGTTGATTTTGTTGTTTCTACGATTTCTAAACCATGTTGAAAAGATTGAGAAAAGAACAACAACAAAGGTTACCAAACTCTTATTTTTTTGAAAATTTATAAATACGAGAAACAAGAAAAAATAAATAAAAACTTGATATTTAGAAATATATCCTAAAATCTTAAAATTTGTACAATTAATCGACTTTATTAATTAATATATGACTACTGAAAAATTGTTATCAATTTTTTTTAAATTAAATTTTGTTTCAAGTTCAGGGTGAAATTGAAAAATTACAATTAAGGGTGAAATTTTAGACCAAATCTTATAAGTGGATAAGATTTATTAGTACATGAATTAAAGTTTGTCGAATCTAGCTACTTGCTCCCCTAGTTGGTTGTTCCACATATAGAAAGTTTCTTAAAAAATTAAAATCTTTAATTCATAAATATGGGGTTAGTTGTTTCAAAGTTGCCTTATTTAGAGTACCCACAAAGTTTAACTTTTTAGTTGTGACTTGAAAGTTCGACTCCTAGTAATCATTTAATTCAGAGCTACTCTACTATCAAATCATAAATCTTCCATAAAAGATCAAAGTGAATGAGCTCACTCGATTTGCGTCTGATCCTCTATTTTTTCTCATAGAGTCACTCATTTAAGGAAAGATGTCGTGAATTTGCGACATTCCAATCTTAATGGACGAATCAAACCTCGTTCTTCATCCATTTCCTTAACAAAGATACTAAAAAAAGTCCTAGACTCTTTCGGTTTTAAATTAAATAATTACCAACGATACCAAGAATTTGAGTGATTATGTGATTATGTTGCGTGCCGTTGTGATTTTGTTAAGAGATTCTATTTTAGTAGAAAAATGAACCTTTCTTCCATGAGTGTTGGAAAATAAATCAATGGATTTTTCTTATGTTAAGGAAGATTCAACCACAAAAATTACAACATTTCAAAAGATGATATTTAATTAGTTTGTCTATTTTGTGCAAGTCAATTGCTTGTTTTATAATTATTCTAATTTTCTTTCGAGTTGATTTCATTAGAAAAATGTAACGTTATTCTTTCAATAAAATTAACGAGTATAGTCTTCTCCATCCTTGCTCCTGTTTCAATTTTCATCTTTGTAAAATTCTCCATTAAATTTTGCGGGAATTTCTCTGCGAGGAATTATTCTTGGTATATTATTTTTTAAGAAAAATAATTTTTCAACTAAATAACTTTTTAAAAGAAATTTCTAATCAAATATTTAATTTCCAATGACTAATTCTCATTCGCTTTGGTGAGGGACAAATCATTTAGAACTTAATAGATTTCTCAATTTCATTAAATCAAAAAATAAATCCAGCGTGGCTGTTTTGATGATTTACCATTCTTAATAATTAATTTATTGCCATTATTAAATAATTGATCTAGTCGATATAAATTTACAGTTAGCTAGATCTTCAATGATTTTAATTGACTATTTCCTTAAAATTCACCTTTTGTATTCCTATACATGTAAAATTGTAAATGCCCAACTGCTGAATCACATACGCATTGTAGTCCATATTTTATAAAAAGAATAAGCTTAAAAAGGGGGGAAATTTAATTATTGAATCAATGATAAGTTTCTATCCAAGAACAGTTATCAGAAACAAATAAAAATTAAATGATTGTGCTGGATAAATAAATACACAAATAACACCAAATTTAACAAATATTTTGTAACTAAATTAAATAAATATGTCTATGATCTAAGGAGTGGATCATCATCTTCTAAAATGGTGGTGTTTCATATTCTACAAAATGAGGATAACCAGATGGGGCAGACATGGCTGAAGGAGAGATCAAACCAGTTCTGACCACCATTTCAATTGCCAAAGCTCTCCTCAAAGTTGTTGACTAAAGCTTCATACTCTGTATCCTAATTCCGGGGAGTGACAACTTCGTTTTCTCCTACCGCTAACCGATCAATTATATTCCTGCAACGGCAACCATCGCGACAAGAAAATCAAGCCTGGTCTAGTCTCTGCTGAAGTTTGATGGATAGAGGGAGGTGTCCATACTTGAAAGAACTTAACGAAACTCATCGTGGAAATCATAGTCGTCTTCTTCATCTTCATTGAAAATGGCACTGTAAAATACGTATGGATGATCGATCATCTCTGCCAAGGTGAGACGTCCATCTTTGTCTGCATCCGCCTGCAAAATAGAGATGCAAACGAGTTGTTGATCGACTGACTCATATACTTGCTCGCTCAGGAAGAACGACAATATATTTTTAAAAATTAATCTATATCGATCTTATGGTTATGTTTTCTCCTTGAGACATCAGACATTTGCGATATTATACAATATCTTAATGTTCTAATAATACTTGTCGAGGAACAAGTAACATGCATTCAAAATTAATCAAGGAGAAACTGATATCTCTCGCTGCAGTGTATCACACACAATGTTCAAACAAGAAATAATTGGAAATAGTTGTTTTCTAATATGATTTATTTTAGTAGTGCTAAAAATGATTCTAACATATTATTTTCTAAGCATAAGTTCTCTCTCAGACAAATCACCCTCCATTAATAAAAATAAAATAAAATAAAATAACAAATGCATAAATCCTCTTCTCGTATAAACCAGCAGATTATTCCATTTATAACTCAGCAATCTCTCATTGTTAGGGGAAAAAAATCCTTCTGCAACCATACATAAGAATCTTTCATCATAAAGTAACAAGCCCCCACTATAGTAGGACTATTGGCAGAGTGATGAAGGACGAGTCGCCCCCTCTTAGTTTAGTGTAATTCAAAACGTATGCATAAAATACTTAAAATTTTATTTAGAATTGAAAGATTATATATAAAAACTTGGCAGGTAAAATTTTACTACTTAGAAACTTTCTAGCTCCACCCCTGGATATGAGACGATTGTTTGTGTTGTGCCTTTAATGTTTGCAATATGCAAGCAATATGTCAATCACAAAGCCACAAAATTTATCAACTTTAATTTGCGTTTCGTTGTCATGCATGAGTACCTGCTGTACGATATATTCTGCTTGCTGTTTCGCATAGTAATGCTCTGATGGGTGGATTTTTCCAATTATAGGTAACAGCTCTTCATCGGACAGGTGCCTATGAAAAACAAAATAACGAAAACAAATCATTAAAGGTGCCAAGAAACTCTGCAGTTAACCAACTATGACGTTGACCTCATCATAAACTTAAATTACCCGTCATTATCTTTGTCTAGCACCGCAAACAAATTCCTAGCAGGGCCATCCCTCGGATCATCTGACTCATGTGAAGAGTGGTGATTCTCATCATAATTTCTCACCAAGTCAAAGAGTCCATGGAAAAACTCATTGAAGTTAATCTTCCCATCCTTGTCTGAATCTCTCTCCCTACAAGGCAACTCACCAATTAACTAGTTAGCAAAGCTACTGAAATGAGAGACCCTACTTTATGGGGAATATGGCTCGCAGAAACAATAGAATTTTTGGAGGATGGAGAGATCCAAAGAGTATATTTGGGATCTTATTATATTTGATATTTCCATCATAAAATCTTCTCGAGAGTGGTATTAAATTTACTTGTGATAACAAAATACCCATCACATACAATAAGATTATAATATTTATTTCTCACAGAGTCTAAGAATCACGAAAACATATATGGACACGAGACACGGGTGCGATACGGACAAGGTGACACATCATTTTCTAAAAATCTAGGACACGAACACGACAAGGATGTGTTTATTAGAATATACCATGTTCGTAAGTATATATCATTTTTATACCAAAAGGATATCAAAGTCAACAAACTTATGCATTTTCGTGCTTAGAAAATGAGTTTGATGTATTTTGCTCGCAAAAAATTATTACGTTGTCCTTATATTACTACTTATGTCTATTTCTTATGTTTGACATGTGTCTAATATGTGCCTAACAAGTATTGGATCTATATTCACTTTGTATAACTTGTGTGTGACACACATCTATTGAGAGATAAGCGTCCAAGTGTCTACCCAAACTAAAGTGTCCGTGCTTCTTATCGTAGAATGGGATCTCCTCTCCAAGTAGTGGAAGATTTTAGGCCCAATGATAGACAGTAACATCAGACTATATGACTCCCAATTCTTCTAGAAATTTACTACAAAGTCCCTTCTCAACTTCCTAGTTCCTAGAACCTAGAGATCTCTAGTAGAGCTACAAAGATGGCTAGGAAAAAGTAAAAACAAATACTCTTAAGGTTAATTTTTTCTTGTGGATATTAATAGAGAGCATACAAAGCTCCCCAATGCTTGTATGCCACTATGCCTACATCTTAACTGGTGTGCTTTTGAGCTTCAACCCAACCATATTGGAAGTCTAGAACACCTGTTCTTCACTGTCCACTTTCAAAAAAATATGGTATTTGTTTAAAAAATTTTGCTTCACAAGTGTAACTGTATCATCTCTAAGGTACTGATTTGGCCAGTTTTCTCCAGTTCTTTAGAGATTTACTTTGAGAGAAAAAGTACAATATTTGAGGACAAAAGTAGTGGAGTTACAGAAGCAAAAGTAGTGGAGTTACAGAAGCAAAAGAAGCCCGAAGGCAAACAGAACAGCCTAGTGGCAGAGGGTCGAGGGGACCCTCCCCGAGGAAACTATACAATCAAGGAGTTCCAACTTTGATAAATCAAAAAGAAACCATAGTTGCAAAAAACCTTCTTGTGAGTCGAAGCCCACCAAGAAGCTATAAGCTTAATATTCACACTAAAAGAGTCAAAAGAGGCCTCTTTCTCTTCAAAAAGTCTATGGTTTCATTCCTTCCATAGCAACCACAAAAGAGCTCTAGCTGCACAATTCCAAAGAACATACGCTTTTCCTTTGAGTCTGAAGCCACCAAAACCTTCCGCTACAAAATCATCAATCCTCCTAGGAACACAGATTGCAAGATCAAAGAGAGAAGCTACGTAGTTCCAAGCCCTAGTAGCGAACGCACAATGAAGGAAGAGATGATCCACTGTTTCCGCGCTGTTAATGCACATGGTACAAACTGAAGGGGAAAGGGTCCAATGAGGAAGCTTCCTTTGGATTTTATCGGCGGTATTAGTTCCCCTATAGAAAAGAGTCCAAAGGAAAACCTTTACCTTTTTAGGAACCTTNGTCCAATGAGGAAGCTTCCTTTGGATTTTATCGGCGGTATTAGTTCCCCTATAGAAAAGAGTCCAAAGGAAAACCTTTACCTTTTTAGGAACCTTGAAATTCCAAATAAGAGAAGCAGTGGCAGAATTCAACTTAGGGGAGGGGGAAGAGATGGCTAAAAAAGCAGATTTTACTGAAAAGGTGCCCTTGCTGTCCGCCTTCCACCCTAGCGAATCTCTACCTTGGCCGATAACCACACCTTCTAGCTTGCCAATGAAGACTGCCCATCTCTCCAATTCTCTATCAAAAAGGTTCCTTCTCATGCCAATATCCCATGTCATGACCTCTGAAATCCAGCAATCTGCAATTGACTTACCCTTCTTGGTAGAGATGCCGTACAGATCAGGAAAAGAAACTGCCAAAGGAGAAGATTCGATCCAAATGTCTTCCCAAAACCTCACAGTTTCCCTCGACTCCACTTTGAAAAAGGAGAACTTACAAAAATCAGAAGAAGTTCTTTGGATATCGATCCACGGTCTACCTATGGATGAAWTCTTAGAAGGCTTCGACATCCACCCAAAAGGTTCTTCACCATAAATGGCTGCTATGACCTTCCTCCAAAGACAGTTTTTTTCGTTGGCAAATCGCCACAACCATTTCATGAGAAGGGCCGTATTTCTCTTTTCAAGGGAGCCAACTCCTAAACCTCCCTGTTGGGTAGGTAAGGCCGTCCACGACCACTTTACTAAGTTCCCAATAGGCCTATGTTTTCCACCATTCCAAATGAAGTCCCTCATGAGCTTCTCCATCGAGGAAATCACGGACTTAGGGGCCTTTAACATCGAAAAGAAATAGATAGGAATGCTGTTCAATACTGCCTGTGCCAAGGTGAGTTGTCCCCCTTTGGACAAAGTCAAATACTTCCATTTTTCTAACCTTTTATGCATCTTGTCTACCACTGCTTCCCAGTAACTCTGTTTACGATGGTTACCACCTAATGGAAAACCCAGATACATGAACGAAAGTGATTCCACCTTGCATCCGAGAGTATTTGCCCAAAAATTGACTTCAGAAGCGTTACAATTAACACCAATCACGACTGTCTTGGCTATATTTAGAGAGAGGCCTGACTTCTGAAGAAAAATTTGTACAACACCCCACCAATTCTCCATATTCTTGTGAGAAAAAGAACTAAAAATTAACACTTCGTTTGCATACTGGAGATGGGTCACTTCAAGACCATTGGAGCCTAAGGAAAACCCGCTAAGAATTCTCCTTTCGTTGCAAAAGTGAATGAGCCTACTCAAGGCATCTCCCACTATAGTAAAAAGGAAAGGAGAGAGGGGATCCCCTTGTCTAATCCCTCG